GCCTGAGCTGTCCCTGAGCTGCGGTTTGGGGACGTGGCAGTGGTTGGATCCTGTCACTATAGGACACGAAAGAACACAAGCTCACACTGCTGTTCTCAAGGTGAAAGAAAAGGGAAAGTTTATTTTCTGACTCTAACATTTATAGTTTTCTAAAAGCGACAGCGGATTGGAAGGGTGACAGTGCCACCTCTCCAATGACACTGGACAAACCAACAGCCCATCAGTGGGTTGGAGGGTGACAGTGCCACCTCTCCAATGACACTGCACAAACCAACAGCCCATCAGTGTTCTCCTCCTCCATAAAGAAATGCAAAACAATGAGTTATTTACAGAAAGTGTGTGAGAAAGTTCAATACAAGAATGTCGACATCAGAAGGCTTAGAAAATCTTGAAAAAACAGGGTGACAGGATCCATCCTGGAAAAGGCAGGAAAACCTTCCCAGGACCTTCAGGAATCACTGCCAGGCTTTTAAGGCAAGAGCACCTCGTTCTTGTGTCAAGGATGAACTAAAGGGTTTAATTTTGTCGCTGGCACAGGAGTTATTTTTAGACACGCCGATAATTCCGAGTTGGAGCCGCAATTCCAACGGCTGGGAGTGATTTTTCCTACAGCACGGGAGAGAATTCAGGCACAGAAGGTCACAAAAATGCAAGAAAATATTTGCAAGTCTTGTCCCAAAATATTTTGGGGTCTCCCCTTTTCTCTTCCTTTCGGCGCTGTCTCTTCCTTCACAATTCCTTGGGAAAATCCCAATTTTTAAAGGATTTTCTGTGGATAATTGAGGTTGTTTCAGACGAAAAGGTTCAATTCCTGAAGATTTTGCAGGCAGGGGCATTGTAACTTTATTTCTGGGGGATCTGGGGTGGCTTTGGACATTTGGGGTGATGATAAGGACATGAGGGTGGCATTAATTAATAATTACAGATTTTACTGTTATCAAGAGGAAAATGGCAGATTTTATTTTTCCTACACCACCAAGCCTTTTTATCAACTCAAACTGACATTGAGGAGGCTGAAGGATATCCTGAACAACTAAAAATAGATCCCCGAACTCTCCCATCTCTCTTCCCCCAATTAAGACACCGCAATTAGGAGGAAATCAGGAGAATAATTTAACTCCAGGCTGGATAATTCTTTCCTTCCTTCAGCAGTTAAAGCAGCGATAATACCAAACATTCCTTAGGGTGAGGAGCAGTGGGAAGCAGAGATCTCCGGAATTCTGTTTCCCGGTGAATTTTTTGGGATAAGAGAAGCCACTTTTGGGGGTTCTAAGAGAGAAATCTTTGGGATGAAAACCTTGGGATGGGAGGGGGGTGTAAGGAAGGTTGAGAAATTTGTTTCCAGTGGGCAGAAATGGGGCTGGAGTTAAGAGAATTTTTTGGGGGTATTTATTGTTCTTCTAACAGACAAATCTGTGGGATGGAAACTTTGGGATGGGTGGGGGATGTAAGGAATGTCAGGAAATTTGGGTCCAAGTGGAGCTGGAGTTGGAGAAGTTTTGGGGATTCTTCTTGTGCTTTTGAGAGAAGTCTTTGGGATGGGTTGGGGGTGTAAGGGAGATCAGGAAATTTGGGTCCAAGAGGAGAAGTAGGGCTGGAGTTTAGAGAAGTTTTTGGGATAAGGGAGAAATTTTTGGGATGAAAATTTCCCAACTTTTGGATGGGAGGGGAGTGTAAGGAAGGCCGGGAAGTTTGGGTCCAACAGGAGCAGCAGGGTTGGAGCTGCATTCCTGTGGCCCCACTGGAGAATCCCACTGGAATTTTTTGGCCAAAAGCCTCACCTGGCTCCTGAATTTTGGGATTAATCCCTGTGTGATCCATTCAGGGTGCGTCTGTGTGGGGATTTCGGAGCGGCCATGGCGTGGCCGGGCCTGTGGCGGGCGCAGCAGCGCCAGGTTCGTTACCCCGTGTGTGTTTTCTCCTCTCTCCCTTCTCCTCCCCGCTCCCCTCCAAGTGCCCAGCGCCCCCAGGTACCTGCGGATCCGACAGCCCAACCTGGAAATCATCAACCTGGAGTGGGATCACCCCGAGCACCCCAACGGGATCATCACGGGATACACCCTCCAATACACCCCCTGTACGTGCCGCGCCTTCCTCCCGCTGATAAATCAGGAAATCCTTCCCTTCCTGCTTTGTGCCAGATCCTTGAGGAGCTGGAGACTCCCATGGTGGGACAAACTGGTGTTGGGAGGGGTCCTGGCCATCTGTAGGGGAGGTGGTGGGTGCTCAGTTCCCCAGACTCAATTTTTGAAAGGAAATTTGTTTTATCTCAGATTTAGGAAGATTTTAGCGCAGCCCAAGGCATTTTTGTGCTCACACAACACAAATTGGTTGATATCCAGGGCCTGAATGACCCTGAGCCTTCACTGCCTACCTGAGTGTCCCCAAGTGCCCCAAACTGGGAGTATTTAACAGCTCTGAGCCCCACAGAATCTCTCCAGGGTGGGGGGACAAGCTGGAGACATCTCCACTTAATCAAGGAGAGGATGGGAGCTCAGCAGCTCCCCAGACAGTTTTTGAGGGAAAATCAGCTGGATCTTGAATTTAGGAGGATTTTAGGCGCAGACAGAGTTGGTTTGGTGCTCATCCAAACACAAGATTTAGGAAGCGATACCCCAGAGCCTGGGGCAGTAGAGAGCTCCTGAAGGTCCCCCCCCAGCAGGTCCCCAAGCCAGGGTGTCACCAAGTGCCCCAACCTGGCCACGTTCAAGAGCAGCAACAGCTCTGAGCCCCTCAGTGACCTCGTGGTGACCTCACAGACCACCTGAGGGGTGAGGGATGAACTGGACACCCCAAAATTCCTGAGCCCGGCCTGCCCTGCCTTCCCTCTGCAGTTAACGGGTCCCGGATGGGCAGGACGGTGGTGGAGAACCTGTCCCCCAACCAGACGAGGTTCACCCTGCAGAGGTCGGACCCCATCTCCCGCTACCGCTTCAGGCTCCGCGCCCGCACCCAGGTGGGAGAGGGAGAGATCCTGATGGAGGATTCACCGGCGCTGCTGGACGAAGGTAAGGGCAGCCCTCGGCTCGGCCGAGGGGACAGGGATGTGTCAAACCCAAAAAATGGCATCGTGGCAGGATGTGGCAAACCCCCAAAATGGTATTGTGACAGGCCATGGAACAGCCCAAAAATGGCACCATGATAGGGTGTGGCAACCCCAAAAATGGCATTGTGTCAGGATGTGACACACACCAAAAATTGTATTATGTCAGTCCATGGAACAGCCCAAAAATGGCATTGTGGCAGGATGTGACAAACACCAAAAATTGTATTATATCAGGCCATGGAATAGCCCAAAAATGGCATTGTGGCAACCCCAAAAATGGCATCGTGGCAGGATGTGACAAACACCAAAAATTGTATTATGTCAGGCCATGGAATAGCCCAAAAATGGCATTGTGGCAGGATGTGGCAATCCCAAAAATGGCATCGTGGCAGGATGTGGCAAACACCAAAAATTGTATTATGTCAGGCCATGGAATAGCCCAAAAATGGCATTGTGGCAGGATGTGGCAATCCCAAAAATGTCATCGTGGCAGGATGTGGCAAACCCCCAAAATGGTATTGCGACAGGCCATGGAACAGCCCAAAAATGGCACCATGATAGGATGTGGCAACCCCAAAAACGGCATCGTGGCAGGATGTGACAAACACCAAAAATGGTATTATGTCAGGCCATGGAATAGCCCAAAAATGGCATTGTGGCAGGATGTGGCAATCCCAAAAATGGCATCGTGGCAGGATGTGGCAAACACCAAAAATTGTATTATGTCAGGCCATGGAATAGCCCAAAAATGGCATTGTGGCAGGATGTGGCAATCCCAAAAATGTCATCGTGGCAGGATGTGGCAAACCCCCAAAATGGTATTGCGACAGGCCTTGAGAAATTGCAAAAATATCATCATGACAGGCTATGGAACAGCCCAAAAATGGCATCATGACAGGATGTGGCAAACCCAAAAAGTTTATCATGACAGGCCATGGAACAGGCAAAAATTGGCACCATGGCAGGATGTGGCAACACCAAAATGGCATAAAGACAGGCCTGGAAAATCTCAAAAACATCATCATGATGGGCTGTGGAATAGCCAAAAAATGGCATCGTGACAGGATGTGGCAAACCCCCAAAAATGACATTATGATGTGCCATGGAACAGCCCAAAAATGTTATCATGACAGGCCATGGAATAGGCAAAATATGGCATTGTGACAGGATGTGGCAAACCCAAAAATGGCACCATGATGGGCCATGGCAAATCCAAAAATGGCATTGTGACAGGCCCTGGTGAACCCAAAAATGGCACCACAACAAGCCATGGAACAGCCCAAAAATGGAATCCAGGAATCCCAAAAACCCGGAGTGCAGGACAGTGATGGCCACTGAGGTTTTCTTGCAGAGGTGGAAGTGGCCAAACGCTGAAGTGACCTGGGGGCTGTCCCAAGGGAGGGACATTCCTTGTGTGCCCTGGAGCAGGAGAATTTGTAGAATTTATGGTTTTTTACCAAAAGAGGGCAGGGTGAGATGGGATTCAGGAAGGAATTCCTCATTCAGAGTGTTTGGAAGTGCTGGCACGGAGAGGTTGTGGATGCTCCTGCATCCCTGGAAGTGTCCAAGGTCAGCTTGGAGCTTCATGGGATGGTAGAAATATCCCTGGACGGGACTGGATGAGATTTGAGATCCTTTCCAACCCAAACCAATCCGTGATTTTGGGATCTCTCTCTCCTTGCGCTGAGGGTGAAGCTCTGATTTGCTCCTCTGTGTTTCTGTGTGAGCTCAACAGGGGCAGCTTTGGGGGATTTTTGAGTGCGGGGACCTCT